GCTATATTTAATAAATCCCTACAATAGAATTTGCTAAGATGGAGAAACTGTGATTATACTCTAAAAATTCATGTAAAGTATAATTATGCATTGATACTCATTGGTGACAATTCCTCTTCACCTAATGTAGACATTTCAATATATCCAATGATGTGTGTCTCTTATTTGGGATAGAATGATGCTAATAGCCCCATCTTTGATAACTTTATTGTTATATTATTTTACTTGACTTTTTGTGTGAGTGAAAAAAGATAAATAGCATAGTGCTTTGCCAGTGAAACACTTTGCATAGAGGAAAGGCTGAAAATTATATGTTTATTGTACAGATTTCATGGCTTCTTGCTTACATTTAAACAATTGCTTCTAACTTCTGGGTATTTACAGCAATTCTGGATCAACTTGATGCTACCATTGCTCTGAGGGCTGGATAGTGGGTCAACTAATTTCTAAGTAATTCACACTGTGTAAGATTGCTGGTATTTTATTATAACTTTGTAGTAAGTGCCTGCAGGGTGGGTTGAGGGTATGAACTAAAGCCTTTGAGATGAAAACCATACCAGAAGACATTGTTCAGCTGAAAATAAAGCAATGAAGTACATAAATAATGTTTTTCTTTTGATTTATGTGTTTTGCCTGAACATTAGTGTCTAATTACTGTCTTTGTGCAATTGCTAAAAAGTCATGTGGTTAAAGCAGGAGTAAATTCTGGTAACAGGTCAGGAAAACAATATTAGTGAAAGGTGCAGGAGAGGAGAAATCTGGGCACCTAGTCAATGGTAGATGGGATTAATGTTCTAAAACCATGGTTTCATTATGCTTTACATTTTATTTAATTGTACTTGTTAGACATACCTAAAAATTGGTGAAGAGTTTTCATGGGAAGAGAACACATAGGGAAAAATAAGACATTTAGACCTCTTGGGATCACTGTAGCATGTGATTGCTAAGCTCAGGTGTTCATATTCATTCTGTAGGATTGGAGAGTCAACAAGGGCTGCCATAGTTTTGTGTATGTTTGTGCAGTGATGGTAATCACATTCTTTAGGACGAATGCCTTAGAAGTGTTGTGCTGGGTAGGTTGGAAATGGCAGAGAAGACAAAAGGAATGCAACTAAGATTCAGTAATAATCATCTGGATAAGGATAAATGAAACCAAGAATGACAACAATAGTAAAAGGAAGGCAGGGAGGGGAAGAATAAAAGTATTTCACAGCTACAAGGTTTGTAAGCATTGATCACCATCAGAGAAATCAGTTAAATGGTTAAATGTGGTAGGGACTAGGAAACAAAACAGATCTATAGACAAAGTTGTTTGGAGGAAGAATACAAGGTGTACATCTGGTGCTGGAACATACCAAGGGAAGTGTCCAAGTGATTTTAAATGTAAGAATCAAGCTCAGGGAAGAGATTGCTGGACATCCTTTCTGGAGTTAGTTCCTAGCAATCTGTGTGCATCCTGGCCTGTCTTCCTCTGAGTAGCACCTGCTCTTCCAGCTCCCCGCTTTGTTTTCTCACCCCTTTGTTATTAATTCCTTGCTGCTTGCAGAGTCAACTTCTCCTTAGCTGTCCATTTCATAGCTCCTTTCCCAAACATTGTACACTTTGCTGGGACACCCTTTCCCTCCTGTTTGCTCAGTTTCACTTCATCTGTGTTTGCCTACCACAACACAGGTGTCTGACTGTGTTGTGTTTGCTCCTTTGTTTTTATTACCTTAGACTTTGGACTTTTACGAACAAGGGAATTGTATTAGTACCTACTTATCTACTCATTTACTTTTCAAGCAGTCATTTGTTTAATGAAATGATTAATCGGTTGATTAAATTTTATTGTCTTTCATTGGAACTGTACTTATGAATAGAATTATTTCTGCATATGTTAAAAAAAGAGTAATAAAAAAAGCACATAACCAAAAAAAAAAAAAGAAATGTCACTGAGCTACTCTGAACAACACATTGCTTAAAATTGAAAAAGGAGTTTTGGACTCGGAGCGATAGGGCAGTGGCTAAAATCCTCACCTTGAATGCAGCAGGAGCCCATATGGGCACCGGTTCTAATCCCAGTAGCCCTGCTTCCCATCCATCTTCCTGCTTGTGGACTGGGAAGGTAGTCGAGGGCAGCCCAAAGCCTTGGGACCCTGCACCCAAATGGGAAACCTGGAAGAGGCTCCTGGCTTAGAATTGGCTCCACTCCAGCTGTTGCAGCCACTTGGGGTGAGTGAACCATCGGATAGAAGATCTTCCTCTCTGTCTCTCCTACTCTCTGTATATGTGCCTTTCCAGGAAAAATAAATAAATCTTTAAAAAAAAAGAAAAAAAGGAGTTTTATATTTTAATACAATTATGTGAGGAAATTTGAAAGGTTAAACTAATGAAATTAATGTTATTAAAATTGAAGAACTAACTAATCCATGGCATGTGGCACAATGAGATAAATTTTTCCTTGTGATGGTGGTATCCCATTTTCAGAGTGTCAGACTGAATTTGAGCCATCCCTTTTCTGATCCAACTTGTTGCTTTATAGAAAATCTGCAACAGATCAGCTTCCTGATTTATAACAAATTTAGAATCCTAATGTTTTACTCATGAGTTCCAAGACCTGTGAGCATTTTTCTTCTCCCCTCCCTTGGTTTTATAATTGAAGAGAAATGGATCTTGCTCTTGTATATAATGGGTGCTCCTGGAGAAGGAAGGAAGGAGGGAAGGAGGGAAGGAAGGAAGAAAGTAGTAAGGAAGGAAGAAAAGAAGAATGAAGGAAGGGAGGGAAGAAGGGAGTGAGAGAGAAAGGAAGGAAGAGATAAAGAGGGAAAGAGAGATAATGAGAGAAGAGAAAAGAAAATAAAACAATTGATAAAAACAGGTAGCAGAAGACCAAGATGTGGAGGAAGACACTATTGAAACTGCAGCGGAAAATATGAAAAGTTACAGAGATGGAAAGATCAATAGCTACCAAGGACTGTAGGAAGGTGAGAGAATGGGACGGAAGATTGGAAGCAACTGTTAAAGGTACAGAGTTTCTTTAGGGGAATAATAAAAACATTCGAGATTAAGGGAAAAGGGTCCCAAATCTGTATGAACATATTAAAATGAATTTCAGTATTTTAAACAATGAAAAAATATGAATTTAAACAAAGATTAAGGGAAGAGATATTGAACCATGAATAACAAATAATGTATGACATCAGACCAGCGGAAAACTCGTGGAAAGACTATGGATTTCATGATTAAAAAACTAGGATTGCGCTTAAAGTGAACAGTTGCAGTCACTGTCCCCCAGGTTGTGCTCACAAATATTTATGAAGTATTTCTCCACAGATTTATATCTCTACTACAAGAATGCCTTACCACGCTCCAGAAACGGTTTTCAGTTTGTATGCACTCAGAAGATAATCTGTGTGTGTGTGTGCTGCCTGGCATGGAGTCATGAGCAGTATTCTAGCATCTGAAACCGAACCCAAACTTCAGAATCAGATCGGTTTATACTGTGTGAACCCAACCATCAACTGAGACGGCCCTGAAGGGAGTAGACGTCTCCGTCTCTGATTTCTGTGCTTTGGCTATTTGGCGAGGTATCTGACCTGCCTGGTGGAAGTGCATTGATGGAATCCTTCTGATGGAGTGATCATGGGCCAGACATTGTTTTCTCTGAGTGTGTTTACTTGGATTCTGTGCTGAGAGCAATGAAGCTTACTCTGAACATGTATTGTAAAAGAAGTATATGAAAATGCATTGCACATTCCTCAGTGTATTTAATATCTGCTACTTGATATTGCTGTAAAGTTGAAGAGATAAAACTTTTATTTACTTTAAAAAATATATTTATGTATGCATTTGAAATGCAGAGTGATAGAGGGAGTGCAGAGTGCAGGTGAGGGAGAGGAGAGTGGAGGGTGGTTTATTCCCCAAATGGCTGTAGTGATTGGAGCTCCATCAGGCCAAAACCAGGAGCCAATTCTCCATCCAGGTTTCCTATATCAGTTTCAGGAATACAAGTACTGGGTCATCTTTGGCTTCCCCCTTAGCACCTTAACAGGGAGCTGCAGCAGACCCAGAGCAACTAGAACTCAAGCTGAGAGCTCGATTATGGTCCACCGGCATCGCAAGCAGTGTCTTAAACTACTACTCCACAGTGGCAGCTGTTACTTTTATTTAACTTTAATGTATCTAAGACAGCCTACTAATGCCTGGGGTATAGGATAAAAGAATTCACCACTAGGTACATATTTCAGAGGTCATTTGTGCTCAGTAGTTAATGCTTAAAGTGAGTGTTTTTTTTTTAAATGAAAAATTACAATCTCATACCTTGATTGTCCTTCTTACTGTCATCATCCTGTTTCCATTAGTTTTTATTCTTTTTATGATTTGTCTATTTATTTGTTATTAATATAAAGAGAACAGCCTTTGTACATTCCATATGAACTGTTCCAAGAAGATAACCATAATTCCTTCCTTCTCCCTCCCTCCCATCTCTTCCATTTATCAATTTTTGCTAAGACATAGATTTTTTTTTAATTTTTAAAGATTTATTTATTTTTAATGGAAAGGCACATATACAGAGAGGAGAGACACAAGAAAGATCTTCCATCCATTGATTCACTCCCCAAGTGGCTGCAACGGTTGGAGCTGAGCTGAGCCAAATCAAGAGCCTGGAGCCTCCTTCGGGTCTCCCACACAGCTGCAGGGTCCCAAGGCTTTGGACTGTCCTTGACTGCTTTCCCAGGCCACAAGCAGGGAGCTGGATAGGAAGTGGGACAACCGGGGCAGGAAAGAACCAGCGCCCATATGGGATCCCTTCACGTGCAAGGAGAGGACCTTAGCCACTAGGCTACCACGTGGGGCCTACTCAGACATAATATTGATCCACTTGATATTCAGAAGCTTAATGTTCCGCCATTCACAATATTCAATAAGTGAAAATTGGGAGGTTCTCAGTTCCATAGCAAATATTAATATGGGATAAAAGTGACACCAATATCACAAAATGTCTGTTTTTCTTCATTTAGGTTTTCCAAATGAGCCTGCTGCAGTCATTGCCCTCAGCACCATTAAGGAATGGCTGGCCAAGAGTCACCAGGAGGTAAGAGTAACAGCACAGCTGGAAAATATTCAGGAGAGTGTTATTTGATCCTCTAGGCCATAAACTGGTGATAATTTTCATCCATGTCCATTAGAGCAAATGCTTGAGGCAAAGCTATCTTATCATCACTCATTCAACTTAGATATTTTCCATAATTGATAACTATATTGATTGTTTTGATGCTGAAAATGAGTAAATTCAGGAGATTCCTTTAGCCATCATCTCATGGTTACATTTTTTTGGAAAGTGTAAATTATGTGTGTAAAAGAGAAAACAAAGTGTAAGAGGACTTCCTGTGCTCATAAAGGGTTAAAATATCTTTGTTGAGATTCTTGGCATACAGTGAGTTTTTTGGTAATATATTGCTGTCTTTATTTATAAATAATTGCTTTCTTAAAGTGACTTCTAGTTGTCGTATTGGAGTGGGCTTGTTTGATAGCTGAATTGCTACAATCAAGGTTTTCTATGAAACTAAATGCTTTCATCATAGTATTCATCATGCTGCCTATTCTGCTTATTAATTAAAGTCTTTGGGGTGTTCAGTGATGAAAAAATTACTGAAGCAACAAAATAACTAGGGACCATAGAGGTTTTGAGTCCAGGAGTTTGTCAATCCAAATATTATAACAACAAAATGTATGATCTTGTGAATGTGCCTTCTGATTTTCTGTTTACTCTTAGATATTCTCCTGAGTGCTGTTAAAATTTCACTTTGTTTTCGGACTGACAGTGCATGTAACTTTCTCCCTGGATAGGAGATTGATTCTTTGGAAACGGCTGGATGTGAAACACGCTGTGGTGGTTTCCTATTGAGAAATAGTTGTTGGTGCCTTTGCACACTTGAAGAAGCAGCAGTGTACCTTTCTAATGACTGTAATTTAGACAGATTTTTCAACCAGATATGAACATTGTTAGATATGAACATAGTAGAAGCAAGGAAACATGGCCAAGCATACCTGGTTTGGTGCTTACTGTTTGTTTCCCTCTTAGTTTAAAATGTTTACGCATGAGTTCTTCTGCTTAGAGGACACCTTAACATTACCTGAAACAGCAATGACTATAAGCAGCTAAAATTTACAGCTGACTAAGCTTATGTTTTATATGTGTGACCTTATTTTCACAACAATATCAGCAAGCATCTAGGAGAAACACTTTTGTCCTCACCCTCATCCAGCATCCAAAAGTTAAGTGACTTGGTCAAAATTGGGAAGTGAGGGGTCAGGATTTGGCCCAATCCTTGTGATTCTAACGGCTATTCCCCATCCAGAGTGACACTGAGGGCAAGGAGAAAATTTCTCTTCCTTTTGAAAGTCCGTTATCTTCAATGTGCTTCGGTCATTGTGAACATTCCTCCCCTGCATCATTTCTTTGCAGATGTTGAGTATGTTCCAGCAGTCGAAGTGATAAGTGAGCAAGTGTGAATGTAGTGCAGTTCTATCATTGCTGCTAAGCCCAGGATATGCCCTCGTTGGGGAGGGGAGGGTTCATGAATCGTCATGCCGTGTGATGAACATGTATTGTTGTGCAGGTGATGATGAAAAGGAAAATGTTGGTTACATTTGCACTCAGCAACATATTTACTAATGGATTCTGTCTACTTCATATGTTCAGAAAGTGCTTTATTGTCATTGAAATTTCTTAACCTAGCATTTCTTATTTAATTCACACATCTACCCTGCCTTCAAATACATTCTTTTGGTTTTGCGTGCACTCATTACAGAAAATCAAGATAATGTGGGGGAAAAAAAATCTGTGTTGTGATTGCATCTGAACACATCCCTGTTTGAAAAGATCCCTTTTTTCAGTGTGCATTGACTGAGTTAAACAAGTTGAATACATCAGATTGTATTTATTAAACAAATTATAAGTGTAAAATCATAGATAAAAAGCTATGCAAATGGTTTATTTTGCAGTGTTTTGAGTCTTCTCTGTTAAACAAACGTGTAAGGATTTATGGAAGAATATTACTTCAAATTCATCTGTCTCTTCACTACAGTATTGTTTTGACATTCTGATTGTTTAAGTGATTTATTTATTAGTTCATGTATTTGATAAATATTTATCAAATACTTGAAGGCATCATGTACTTTTCTTATATAGCAAAGACTAAATAACAAAATCCTTGCCTGGTGGTATCCATGGTCTAGAAAGAAAAAAAAAAAAACATATGAAGCAAATAGGGAAAATACATGGAGACTTCAAAGATTGCTTTACAAAATAAAGTCTGGTAATTTTATAGTGAGGTCCTGGAGGATGTGGTTTTAGATAATGTGCCTACTCTGAGGGTAGAACCAAGGAACAGAGAATTATGAAGTGGGAGGGGTTGAGTCAAGCAAGGCACACAGGGATTTGAAGCATGACATTTGACACTGAAGGAATAACAAAGGAAAAACTTTGGTGAAGATAAGCTCCATGTTTCTAGACAAAGGTAAGAGAGCCAGCGTGCTTGGAGCAGAAAGATATAAGAATACCAGGAGATGCATTAGGGGAAAAGGCAGCAGTCAGATTACAGAGTCTTATGGCTCATAGATTCTGAGTCCATTTCTGCTGAGGAGTTGTCCAGGATATAAAGTAGGGAAGTAACATAAACAATTCTCCTTTAAAAGCAAGTTATACTATCTGTAGAAAAACTGCCTTTGGAAATAGCAAAGTAGGGGGAGGAGTGATAATGTAAGGCCAGGCAATGCGTGAAGGTACTTTGGAAGCAGGGATGGTAGAAAAGGAAGTAACTAGTGTTAAGTTTCCAGTACGCTTTGACAACAGAGCCAAACTTAGCTGGAGGCGCATTTTCAGTTAGGACAGACAAGGCTGCCTTTATATCTACGCCCGGATCTCAATGTTATAAGGCATCAAATGTTTGCTTCTTACTCATATTCTTTGTGTGTGTTGAGTCAACAGAGGACTGACTAGCTTAGTCAGAAACCCATGCTGAGGCATAGTCTGCTTTGTAGAATGTCATCTGACAGGAAAAGATCAATTCCTTTGGAGAAATTCTTCCACAAAGGAGTGGTACATTTAACTTCCACTCCCATTCGATTCCTTTGCAGGAATTTCTGCATGAACCGGTGATGAATATAACTTATGCTTGTTCAGTTCATTTTGTTGAATTTCTTCCACAAAGAAATGATGTATATAGCTTCCACTTGCATTTCATTGTCAAGAGAAGTCGCCCTGGGACCTAGTTTGAGAATGTAAGCAGATAGTCCTCTTTATAATGAGAAGAGAATAAAACTGAATATTGACTAAGGATTGTAACACCTGTAAAAGGGAGAATCAAATATGGTGCATAACTAAGCAAGAGTCAAGAATGATAACTAAACTTGACCTGAGCACCTAGGTAAATTTGAATACATTTACAAAGATAGAGAAAATTTATACAGGGATATATTTTTATGACACATATAGACAGAACAGGAAGTATGTTGTAGATTGTTAAGCCTGAGATGATTGTAGATATTCCATAAATGCTTCAAAGGAACAATTGACTATTTGAGCCTGAACATTTACAAAAAGTGAAAAGAATGCTGGTGAAATCGATCATACCACTATAACTTTAACTTTGACATGGATCTTAGTTTGAACTTTCTCCCAGAAATAGAAATTCTGTCAAATAAATAAATAAAGGGGACTGTAATTCAGTGACATATATTTAAGTGCCATTTATTCAAGGAACAGAATTAGAGCTCAGTCATATGAATGACTGGAATCCCAAAGTACAAATCCAACAAAAGCAAGGCAGTTTATCCAATCCATCTCCCTCCTTCCCTCTCTGTTTCCCTTCCTTCTGCCCTGCCTCCTCTATCTGCCTCTTATATTTCTTTTTCAAATTTCTATTATTAGTCTGCACATTATCTTCCATACACATCTGATTACACATGTGCCTGTCCACTCCTGAGTATGTCAGCCTTGCGTGAGGCAATTTTGGAGTTCAGTTTGATGATTAGTAAGGTTGAATCTCCTGAGACTCTATGCTGCTCAGCCCCCACCCCCCACAATTTTCCTCTGGAACAGTGGGGAATCTGTCTTGTGGTTCTCTCATTAGTAGCCTTCCACCCCTTGGGCAGATCCGTGATGCACATTTTTGTGATGTTTTCCTCTGATGTGCCATAAATCATCTGTGTTTTCGTATTCAAGCATTCCTATGTCATTGTTTACATACCCGCTGGTTTCTAACCTGTTTGGAATGGATGTAGCACTTTTTTCCAACTCAGCTCTTGACCTTATTATGCTATTTTGCAAACCCATGCCAACTGATACAGTAGAAGACTTCCATATCCAGAGAAGGGCCTGAATGTATCACTAGGACATAACAGATAGGAAACATGTTTGACTTTCCACCATCTATTTGTTTATAAAGTTCTCAAGTACACACTCAGAGGGAAGTAGTAGGACCACTTATGTAAGAGGATTGGGGAAGTTGAGGAAAGGAGCTCAGCGGGACAGTAGTGCCTTTGGCTATGATTCCAGCATAGCTGGTAGGGGAAATACAGCACAACTCTTACAAAAGGCAGAAGGAGAAATAATTAGAGCTCATGCATGACTTGCCAGAACTAAAATATATGGTGACTGTTGATGTGAAAACCTAAAAAAAATTTAAAAGAATATGTTTTATCTATTGAGAGTGGTCTTATCCCTGTGAGAATATCAGGAAGTTAGATTATTACACAGTGCAGAACAGTGGTACATAGGAATGACAATCATGACTGATGTCATGAGGATAGGAAGCTAAGAAACCCAGGGATCAAAGATGAGGTGAGCAAGGGCTGAAGGTTATTCACTGACATTTTCAACTGTGTTAGGTACTAAAAACTTCTGAGTTCAGAAAAAAACAAAACAATATGAGAATTGGCTCTAAGTCATTATCATTAGGTAGCATGATAACTTCGCTCTAAATGCCCTGTTTCTCTCAGGAAGCAACCGTATTGTGAAGATAGGTGGGGCAAACTAGGGGATGTTCTAGAAGTGAGCAGGAGAAATGTGGTCCAGGCACTGAAGCTGGA